TAGAATATCTTGTTTGATCAATAAAACACAAAGTAAAAATAACTAGTTTCTGATTAAATAAAAGAAAAAATATTAAAATACGGGATAAATAATTAAGAAAATGATTTGAAATTTTCATTTAGTTTTAAAGGAAATCAGTATTTATAGTATAGATAAGTATTTCGAATAGATTCTATGGATAAAATAAGTATATTATTTGTGAAAGAGATTGTTTTTTAAATAATTAATCAAGTAATTAGAATATTACGAAAATATTTTTATGATAAAAAACAAAATCAATCTAATTGATTTTAATTTTCAATAATTATATTCAATTCTTACTCTAATCATAATTTCTTTTTTCAAAAACTATTCAAAGGATTAATTTGATTAAAAATTCTATAAATATTTCTTTTCATTTGTGAAAAAGATTGATTTTAATGAAAAAATAAAACTTTCGATGTTGATTTTTGTTCTAACTCATATCAATTAATTAATAAGAAACATTTTAAATGAAAAACTTTCTTACTTTTCACAAGATCTTTTATTTTAAGCATTTATTTAATAATATTCTCAATATCTCATTTGAAAAAATAATTGGAGACCGATGGATGAGCTCTCTTTTCAATATTATATTAAGTGAGATAAAATTAGAAAAGAAGTAAATTATGAATAATTTTATGAATATTGTTTCGGGAGAAATTATTATTTCTTATCTAAAGAATAATATTATTTGAAAAAGTAATTTAAATTATTGCTTAATTAATAAAAATAATTTACGAAAAAGTTTCATCTCAATTTTAAAGATAATAAAACTATTTTTTATTTAATAAAACATACTTTGTTTTATTCGAGGTTGAGATTGAGTCAGTTTTTTATACAATGCTGTTATTGGATTCTTTGATATAGTCGCTGTGCTAATTGCAGAATGATTTGATTGAGAAGAATCTTAATAAAAAGAAAATACAACGATTTTATTTGACAATAATAGAAAAATAAATAGTTTATTTTAATTTAATATATGTAAAAATGAATGTGGGTTTCTTCTATACCCATACCCATTCTTAGGAGCTCGATCCGTTTCATTTCTTCACAAAACTCTGGCGACTCCATTGAAGATTCGTTAGGGGACAGTCGACTTGAGATGGTAAGATCTGAAAATCTGATTATTACGGTTTTTAAATATGATGCTCGAGATCCGTCTAGTTTCACAGTTCCTTCAGGAAGAAAACATACCAACAATAATCATATTAAATATGCGCACAAGTGTCTATATCTTATTTCGAAGATTGTTATGCATTATAGACAGAACTACTCCATAATTATCTGCAAAAATACAGCATATGTATAACTCAGCCTAAGATTTTAAAAGAAGTCACTCTTTGAAAAATGAGCTAGAATCATAACTTCATGACTTGTAAGTAGTTTTCTGTCAAATTATTCCATATTTAACATTTTATATTTCAACTGATGCAATAGATTTTTCTCTTACTCGATGTTGGTTTAGTCTGCACAGATTGATTTGTAACCGATTGTAAAAGAGTGATTGGAGGCTTTGTTTCTTTTAATTGAATCATACGAAGACCTGCTGCTGGTTGAAGACAACCTACTACAATAAATTGTCGAGCAGCCAGGAGAAGAACTTCTTTTTCGGATTGAAAATACGAATGACGACTAATATCTTTGCCACTATCACATTCGATAGTAAAAAGTGTCCTTTGGCCAGTTTTGTCTAGAAATTGTTCGTTTTCGAGTACTCCTATCGATGTTGTACATGAAGAAAATCCCCACCAGACAAATGTTTTTCCTTCAGTATATTGATTAGATAAATCTAAATTTACTCCACGAAACACATGGCGTCGTATGGACGGTAGTTTTTCGAGTGCTGTAAGAATAAGTTTCAAATACGAAAACCATCGTTCTAGTTTTCGCCTATCTTCAGTGCGAAGAGTTGCATTGAGGGCAAAATATAAACATTCGTCATGTGGTTTCCATTCCATCGAGTAAAGCATAATTGAAGCTGATTCATCATGTGTTAAACCATCGAGAGGTACGGATTCACATCGTTGTTTCGCAACATAAGCATAATCTTGAATTTCACGTAAAATCGAAATAAGTGGTGTAACAGCTTCTTCCAATGGTACTAGTGGCATTTCTTCGTACCCTCGAATTGGCATGAGCATCTTTTGCGGTTCTTTGGCAATATCCGATACACGTGTAAATTGTTGTGGATCAACATTTTCACTTGTAGCCATGTTTATATGAAAGAATATTTTCGAATAACAAGCACAACAAATAATCTACAAATAAAATTAGCATCATAACTGAATTAAAATAAAATGTATTTATTAGTCAAGTGCATTTCTTTGTAGTATTCTTATTAATTATAAATCTCAACAAAGTGGTTCATAGAGAATGCATTCTTACGCTATCATAGTTTGTTAATAAAACTAGGGTATGGGTGACTAAAGTATGGGGTGTATATGTCGGTATTGAATCATTTCACACATACACGCACATCTTCGAATAAATGAAAATAAGTTCAAAAATTTATATCACATAGAAATGACTCATTATTATGAACAAAATAAATAAATATGTTAAAAGAATAAAAAAAAGATATTACATGAAGATTTAATTATAATATAAAATAATCTATCGAATATTTTTTGATTATTCATAATAAATGATAGTTCTATAAAATAAATACTAGATCAATCGATTCTTTTCTACTTAGATTTGTTTATATTCACTTGCTTCTTAAAGATCGTTCTAAGGTGTGGATGTGGATGAATACAAGACTATGCTACATCCATACTCACACTCATACTTACACCATCAATAATAAACAAGAATGATAAATTTAATTTGTATTTTATCATATTCATGTATTAAATGAATGATCAAATTATATTTTCATTATTAGATTTGAAAGCATCGATAATTAAAGTTACTTTACAATTTTTATATTCTTTCAAATTAATCATATCTCAATGAGATGCTAAACCTAAGTCTAAGAAATAAATATCATGCTTTTATAGTTGAAAAATCTTATAGTACATTAAAGTAGTTTTGAATAACTTTGATTTTATAGATAAAACACTTTTTAACTCAATTTAACTAACATAATAATACTAATTAAGTTTTATTTTTTTGATGTTTTAAGGTATAAATAGGAGAAAAGAACATTGGTGATCCTAAAATTTAATCATTCTTTCTCATTTTATTAATTTTAACTTGATTTCAATCACATTTTGAGAAGAAAAAATCAATTTAATACTAAACATATGTTATAAAACAAATTTCAAAAATGAACATCTCTGCGGCATCTAGGATCATTGAAAAGTCATAACACTGATCTGGGAATCTACTTAAACTTTAAGCTTATGAGAACTTTTGTGGTTAAAATGAGCAACAGTTTGTACAAGAATATCCATCTAAACTATACTTCACACACACATTGATCACGAAAAGGAAAAAAACTCTTTAAAAGAAGATAAGTTAAGTAATATTTACTCACTTTAGTTATTTATAAATTACTTGCTATTCTATCTTTTTGAATGTATATGTTGGTAATAGTTTCTTTCGTCGGAATGAAGTAAAGTATGCACATCATACATAATTCACCTTTTATATATCAAGCTAAATAAATTCTTTTATCTTGGTTTTTAAAAAGAATGATAAACAAGGTTATATATCCAAGTTGGTAAGAAGTATTTGTTTTTCTTTTATTGACGATGATATTATTTATCTTCATAGAGTTCCTTCTCTGCTTGCAAAAGATAACAACAAAAATCTTGAGGAATGTGAGTATACATGTAGATGTGGGTATTATATTCAAACTTTTCACACAGTCACACATACACTACTGGTGTAACCGAGGGGAGAAAAATAGACAACTATTTATTGCATCTGAAGCTTTGCCCATTTATATTTTACTTTTTTAAAATTGTTTATATATTTTCGAATAATTTAGCAACTGAATGTTATTCCTTCATATCAATCATACGCACTCTCCTGCTTGTTCTTATGAGAAATGAAGACGAGAAGAAAAAAAGAATAGCTTCTTGCATTTTAACTTCAAGTTTGGATGAACATGAGTATGATGTTATTAGGAAAACATTAGCAAAGTGAAAGACTTTCGATTGTGAATTCGAATGAAATATTAAATTATGTACATAAATACGTTCTCGCCGTATTTACTTTGATGTTTGAATGTGGAATATAAATATTAAAAATAGACTAACACACATCTCATCCAGACTTCACTTCTGAGTTCAATGATTAAAAAATTTTTATCTCTTCCAAGAAGAAAAATCAAAAAATAATTCAATCAAATCCAAAGAAAACAATTTCAAAATTTCCTTTCAAAAATTATTTAGATAAAAGAAAAGAGCTTTTATTTTATTTGTCAATTATTTCTAAATTTTCCTATTGATAAAAAAAGATTTATTTAAATAAACAAGAACTTGTTTCTTAATCCATTGAAATTTCGAATTTATTTTTCTCTTCAATTTTCATTTTTTAATAAAATGAAACAATTTTGATCTTTTGTTTATTTTTCTAATTTCTTTTTTGAAAAAAAGATTTTCTTAATCTATTTTTTCGATTTTCACAAATTTCGGTCTTATTCATTTATCTTTTGACTTCTCTCGATTATGATAAAATCGCAAAAATAAATCTAATAAAAAACAATTTGTTTCTATTTACAAGTTTTTTATTATTAATTTAAATGCTCTTCTGAATTCAAAAATATTTTGTTTGATTTTTCTATAAAAATAAAAATTTTTCTAATTGAATATTCTTTTAAACTCTTTTAACTTGATTCATTCAACAAAAACTCTATTTAAATTATTTCATTCATTTGGTTTTTTTATTTAAAAGTAAAATTAATAAATATTTATTTATTTATTTTATGAAAAGAAATTTTTTGATTCATATTCATTTATTTTTGTTGGCAGTTTTTCATAAATTAATGTTTTTATTTATCTTCAAAAATAAAAAATAAAAACTTAATCAAATCAAATTTCAACCTTTTCATATTTTTGGATTCGATGATTTTCCATATCAGCAACATAAAGATTTCCTTCATTATCAAATGATAAACCACTGGGATAATTTAATTGATTTGATCGATTTCCTCTACCATTTTCACCAACAACTATTTCACCTTCTTCGTCTCCTTCACACCAGCGCATTACTCGATCATTCCAAGAATCTACAATATAGATTTGACCCAAATGATCAACGATTACTCCTCGAGGAGAACACAATTGATTGAGACTATTTCCTCGACCATTTCCACCAGCAACAATAATTCCTTCTTTTGCATCTTTTTTCCATTTCATTACACGATCATTGTTACGATCAGATACATAAACAGATTGATCTTCATCAACAAAGATATAACGAGGACAATTGAATTGATTAAAATAATTTCCTTGACCATTTCCACCTGCAACTAATTCACCATTTTTATCTCCTTGTTTCCATCGTCTTACTTCATGATTCTCATTATCAGAAGTATAAATAAATCCATTTTTATCGATTGCCAGACCCCAACAATCAATATTTGAAATAAGAATTTGTTGCTTTGTTTGATTTTGATCAAAATATCGAATTACTCGTTTGTTTCCCATATCAGAAATAATAAAAGAATTATTCTTTTTATCAAAAACTATATCTCTTAGATGAAACAATTGATTATTTTGCTGTTCCTCTTCATTTCCACCTGCAATGATTTGACCAGTATTTGAATTCAGTTTCCATTTAACAATACGATGATTATAATAATCAGCAATATAAACTGATTTATTATTATCAATAAAGATCCCTTCAGGACAATCGAGTTGATTTAATTTATCTCCTTGTCCATTTCCTCCGGCAACAGTAATTGCAAATTGTCGAAATTTATTCTTTTTTGTTTGAATTTGTTCTAAAATAAAAGATTTTCGTTTTATTCAAAATGTTTTACATTATTTTTAAATGAAAAATAAGGCGAAAATAAGAAAAGAAACTTGTATCTTAATTTGTTTTAATAAAATAAAGTTTTCGTTTTATCAAATTTTATTCTTATTCATGTAAATTAATTTATAAAAAATATTTTAAATGAAAAACTGTGTTAATTTTCAAAAGAATTTTCATTTTAAACATTTATTTTATAATATTCTCAGTATCTCAATGGAAAAAATATTTTGAAAACGATGGATGAAATTTCTTTTCAATGTTATATTAAGTGATATAAACAATAAAAAAGAATCAAATTATGAATAATTGTATGATTATTGTTTCAAGAAAAATTGTTATTTCTTATCCAAAGAATAATACTATTTGGAAAACTAATTTTTATTGTTACTTAATTAATAAATATAATTTACGAAAAAGTTCTATCTCAATTTTGAAGATAATAAAGCTATTTTTTATTATGAAGCATACGTGTTTTTATTGAAGATTGAGTTGATATTTGATTCTTTGGTATAGTCGCTATACTAATTCTAGAGTGATTTGCTTGAGAAGAATCTTAATAAAAAGATAATAAAATGATTTTATTTGACAATAATTGGAAAATAAACAAAAAATTGCTTAGATTACAAAGAGAATTGTTTAGGTTTTTGAAGTAATTGAAAATAGGAAAAAAGCAAAGTTTAAATTTCCTCAATAATGAAACAAACTGAGAGAATTCGTTTATATTTTATCTTTTGAATACAATTTTCAAAGTTTCCTCTATAAAATATTTATTTTTTTTTGAGAAAATATTTTTTAACCTGTAAAATACAAAATGATATTCATTTATGAAATAAAGTTTATTTGATTTTCAAAAACAAAATTTTTTTAGGCGAGAGTGTGGGCGTGAGTATTATATCCATCACACACCCCAGACCTGTCATTTCAACAAAAATATTTTTATATATATGTAAAATAATAGAGTGATATTGTGACGTTTTTTGACACTGTCTACTACACAGATTAACTTTTTTCATAATTAATAGTTTTGAAGAGTTGCGTTCGTAATAGAATAGTTTGACATATCTCAGTATATCCTCAAAATACAGATTCAAATCATTTATATATGAAGTATTTTTAGACTTCTTTCTATCTTATGTTTGTTCAGTTTCAACATTTGAAATTTTTCCCTCTAAATCTCGTTGATAAAACTAATTTGTAATACCAAAAACTTGAACAAATACTTCGCTTTCTCTTAAGTCGAAATGAAATAGTTGAATAAACATACCGAATGGTGAAATAACTGAAATTTTCTTGATAAATTCATGTAAATCTTGTCGAATAGAAATATTCGATGGTTGAAGAAATTCTTCTGTAATTTGTGTTAATTTTAATTGGAAACTATTTAAATCAATTTCATTAAATTCATTTTCTTCACGAATTTCTTTTAATTTCTGAGATAGTTCTATAAACTTTTTTTCCACATCATTGATCGATTTTTGTGTCAATTTCATTACTGTTTCTCGACATTGTTGTGCTGTTTGTTGAATTTGATGAATTGAATTTGTTTCCCATTGATTAATTTGTTGAATTAAAGAAGAATTGTGTGGGTTTTGTTTTTGCTGAATAATTGTTTGTTGAAATTGATCATGATCATTGATAATTTCATCTAATTGTTTATGAAGAATTTGTCGATGCTCTGTTAAATGCTGAAAACAAAAGCCTTTTGAACATCCTGCACAAAAAAATGTTGCATTTGCTTTATTACAAGTAGAACATTTTGCTCTGCTGTTTGCTGTTGCCATGTGTTGGGGAATTTGAAAAAGAAATGAATATTTGTTCTTAATCTGCCTGTGTATTTATTTATACAAAAGAAAATGAGTCAAGGTAGATAAATATCAGTAGGTAGTAAAAGAACGAAGAAAACCTTTTTTCGAGAGATAAGAAATCTTCAACATGAAAATAATTTAATAGTCACTGGTATTGAATGAAAACTAATTCTCTTTAAAGAAAATGAATTACGAGCATTATATTGAGCTTTCGCCTTTTATATGAGTTGATCGGTAGAAATAACATTTTAATTTTCATTGAATAACAAAATCAAAATTTTGAATAGATGTCATTATTCTATTCAATTCTCTTTACTTTACTGGCCAATTGAATACTCTTAAATATGATGATCAAAGTTTTTCTTAAGCTTCTATCGAGGACGTTTATTAAATGTGTTTAAATAAACGATTGATCTAAAATTAATCGACTTGAATTCGAAGAAAATAAAATGAAAAGAAAAATGATTTCGAAGTGTTGAATTGCTCATTATTAATTGTTTTATCCAAAATAATAAAATCAATGAAATTAAAGAAAGATCAATTTGATGTCATTTGAAAATTTTCATTCGACTTGTAATTATTTATTTTTCTCTTTTAAAACTAAAGACGAATGTTAATTGAATATCATTCAAATACTGATATTATTAAATAAAGATGTGTTCACAATTATTATTAATGACAACTCAATTGCTTATTGTCTTATTTATTCTCAATTATGTTGATAAAGATACTGGTTACATTAAGATATATATATATAAGTTGGAAATACTTTTGTCAAGGTTTAGCACGTCTTCTTGAAAGGATTGTTATAGTAAATTATTAGTGAATCACATCGACTAGACAGATGTAGTAATATTTCTTAGAAAAAACAAACTCATTTTCGAATATTCTTTAAGTAAACGTATTCGTAGAAACAAGAATGAATGCAGATTAATTAGTAGTATGACTTAGTCAATGTTCAAATGTAATTGTCATAAAACAATCTTCAAGTTCCATCAGTAGTGTTTAGAGTATTTTAATACTCTTTTAATTCGTAAGAATACAATCTGTGTCCTGACGAATTTTTTATATGTTACAGATAAAAATAGACTGTTTGAATACATTTGTAATTTTACGTAACCCTCTATCACCGTATTAGTATACTATAAATAAGTTCAATACTACTGAATTATTTTTGAAGTAGATGTATTACATAGGTCTAATACGATTATGAAGTATTATCATGTGGTGCCATTGGTCCCGCCTCAATACAGTAAATCCGGATAGCAATCGAATACAAATCCGTGGCAATAGGAGACAAACTAAATAAATCAGATCAAGATCATAGACAAATTGAAATTGAACTAAGAAAGTTGTCGAGATTAGTTGTTGACCAAGTCCAATAAGAAGACTAGAGATACTAAGTAATTGTAATGTCATACGCCTCTGCTTTCTTACAGAAATGTGTTGATGATTCGTATGACGAGTATTATATTAGCCAAAATAATAACAACAATCAGTAAACCATTATTGATTCCCCCATCAAATATACTTAGAATTTTATTATAAAATAAGATAACAATTTGTGTAACCACACAAATTATTTGTGAAATTTCATTGAGTACCATCGCATGGATAGAATATAATGACGACCATATAGAATATGATCGGATAAATAAGACACAATAGAAATCGTATGAAACAAATGTTTAATAAAGACGGTTGAAATATAAGTATATGTCGTTGAATAGAAATAACAGCCGTCAAAAGTGCACTTGTTAAATTAAGACTATATTCAAAAAATGTCCACCATGTGCAAAACCTTGCTGTAGTTGGATTAACATAATTAAGAAAAAATAAAAATGAATAGGCATTGGTAAATCAGCGGAGAGAAGGAAAAAACTGATAATTAATAAGAATAATATTGCTTGATTTTGATATACATTTGAACGAGTATGATAAGTAATGGAAAATATGAAAAGTAAAAGAGATATTATAATCGATAGAATTTGGAAACTGACTAAAATAATAAATTTAACTCGATGAAGAACGAATTTATCATTATAAACTGATTCTTCACTAGAAATATTCATTGTTTGAACAAATTATACAAAATTAAAAATATTATCTTGAATGACTTGCGTTTTCTTATTATATTAGATACGCAACGAAATATATTTTATTCTTTTTTGACTTTCAATAATATAATTGCAGCAAAGAAGATACTAAATTATCTTTTTGACATATAGTAGAATACATTTTCAATACAATAAGAATTTTATTAGATAAAGAGCAGGGAAATTCATATCCGCTAGTCTGTTCTAACAGCAATATATATTGCTTTAATACATCGAGGGTGTGGGTGTGAATCACATTAAGACATGAATACCACCTACACCCACGCTCTCAGAGCATGCGCATCCGGTTTGGTATTGAATTTTATCATTGTAAACAAATTTTCATTCGATTTGAATGACCTGCCCGATTTTCCTGTACCTTCGGTAAAACCAATTTTTCTCCATAGTGAAAATAGAACAAAATAAAAACGCTCCATACTTTTATGAGGGCTGGTATGAGAATTCAAACGAAAAAAAAATTGGCGTTTTCACTTCCCTAGAAAAATCGGATGGGTTTGCTAGATCGATCTATCAGTACTATAGTGGAAGGTATTAGAAGTGCAGCTGTAAAAATAATTTTTGTGTTAATCCTAATTTCAGAGCTTTTCTACAATTAATTTCTGATGCTGAATCTGAACATAATATTTTCTAAAAGTTCAAGAAAAGAAACATAGTGATTTTTGCATATTTTGTCAAAAACCCGGTTTTTGGAAAAATTAGGTTTTTCTAGGTATTTCGTGGTTTTTGACTAGAAAACAGCTACCGCTCTATCGATTCATGTACGAAAAAAGCAAAAATAGATCTCACTCGATTTTTGCATTGTCTGCACCTTACAAATCTTAATAATAATATAACAATTATTCATATATTTTACAACTCTTTTTTACTTTCATTTGAATGAGGAAAATAAACTGTCTCATTTATTTATTTATTTGAAATTTGTCAAAATCAATTCTATGAACAACTCATCTAATTATTATTTACATTTGACTAATAAAAACATCATCACTATTATCTCTCTTTTCATTATTATCTCAATGACACAAACAATAATATCATTAAATCTTAATTTTATTATAAAATCGATCAATTCATCATTCAAATATTTTCACTCTTTTTATTTAATCATAAATCATAAATTCATCGTATAATATCATCAGATTTAATAAATTCACAAGCAGTAGAATTTAAAACTCACTTCTATATGTATCACAATCTAATCAAAATATTTAATTTCGTTTATTAAAATACAATATGAAATTGATTACAATAACATTAAAAAATAAAATCAAACTTTTATTTTATTATTAAAAATCAAAAATATAAAAATCTTATTTATTTTAACAAATTAATTCGAAAGAAATAGTAATCAATAAATCAAACTTAATTTAATTATTAACAAGAATCCATTCGAATTTTTACATTTATGTAGCTCTAGATCAAAATAAACAAAAATATTTTCAAAAAAAATTTAATTATTAATTTCGTCATCAATCCTAACAAATTTAATTCAAACCAATTTCAAATTTTTGAACTCGATGATTCCAATAATCGACAACATAAAGATTACCTTCAACATCAAATGATAAACCTCTGGGAAAATTCAATTGATTTGGTTGTTCTCCTTGCCCATTTCCACCAACAACAATACTACCTTCCTTAGATCCTTCACACCAACGCATTATTCGATCATTGTAACAATCAACCACATAAACATTACCCAAGCGGTCAACAGTCACTCCATAAGGATTAGACAATTGCTTCGAACTCTCCCCTTGACGATTTCCACCAGCAACAACAATACCTTCTTCTGCACCTTTCATCCATTTCGTAACACGATGACTGTTATTTTCCGACACATAAATTGAATGATCTTCATCAACAAAGATATAAGTAGGATAATTGAGTTGATCGAGATAATTTCCTTTTCGGTTTCCACCTGCTACTATTGTTCCCTTCTTCTCTCCTTGTTTACATCGTCTTACTTCATTCTTCGAACAATCAGAGACATAAAGATCTCCGTTGTTGTCTATTGTTAGACCATAGCAATCAATATCAGAAATGATTGTTTCTCCATTTTTACCATTTTGACGAGGCCATCGTACCACTCGTCTGTTTCCATAGTCACAAATGATGAGAGAATTATTCTTTTTATCAACAATCACATCTGTTGGGAAACTCAATTGATCACTTCGATTTCCATATCCATTTCCACCTGCAACAACTTCACCATTCGTTGCTCCATATTTCCATTCAACAATACGATGATTCCAATATTCAGCAATATAACTAGTTTGATGGTCATCATCAACATAGATACCTTGAGGACTATTGAGTTGATTTGAGTCATTGCCTACGTCATTTCCTCCAGCAATAGTAATTCCATGTTGTTTCCATTTCGTGTTGGTATAAATAGGACTGACACGAGTTGGTTGTCCTAAAAGAAAAAAGATTTTATTTATATTTGAATGAAATTGATGAATAAATGTGAATAAAAATAGTGTTTTTTTAAAATGTAATATAATACAAATGATGATTTGTATAAAAATGTATGCTGAGGATTTGTTTTGTTGAATTAGTATTTTGAGAAAAAGAAGATGAAATAAAATATTTAAATGTTTATCGATTTAAATCTAGGTTGGAATAATAATTTAGTCTGAATGATACTTTTTATTGTAAACCAAAACTGATGAGACAAACATAATGAAGTTATCTGAAAAAGAATATTTTATTCTTTGAGATTTTCTAATTTTATTATTTATTTGACAAACAAATCTCTTGCTCTATAAACTTCTGGTCAACTAAACTAAATTCTATAAACATTTCAATAAAAACTCTACAACAACATTATCACAACTTTAATTTTTTGTTTAACAAAGATTGTTAAGAATGAAAAATGAACGAGACAGAGTTTAGACTTGAATAGATTTTGTCTTATTTTAACAAAAAAAATAAATTTCATTTATAATTACAAAAGATTGATGAATTCTACGGATGAATGAGAGCAAAGTTGAAGATCTTTTTTTGTGAGGATGAAAACAGAACATAAAGTTCTGATCATTTTTCAAATAGATGTTGAAGTATAAAGAATTAATCTTATTCATATCGAAAACAATATCACTAAAGGAGAATAAAATGGATGAGAGAAGAATTGACAACATTATTTATAATCATACAAAATTATTTTAACTTTTTTTCTTCGCACAATTTGTATAAATATAACAAATTAATATTAAGAAAAGATTTATCTTTTTCATATTTATAGCGATTCAAAATTATTTCAGACTCACCAATTGGAAATTGTTGATTTAAATAAACTTTTCGTCGAAGCGAAGATACTCGAAATGGACATTGATCATTATTTGTTTCATTCATCATACCATCACAGACACCATACATTATTTCACCAATAGTTAAATTCGGCTGATTAATATGTTGAAGAAGATGAGATGTAAATAAACCATTTCGACCATTTTTTGATTTATCTAATGCAACTTTATTTGCTGTACATGAAAAACCAATAAATAAATCACCAATCGGTTGCATACTTGAAAGGCCATTAAAATTTGTTGATTCGCATACAAAACTATTTCGACAACAATCAAGAAGAAATATAGCTGCTGATGGACGACAATTGATAATCTTTTCAAGCGTAACTTGAGCATTTATTGCTCGATACTCCAAATCAGTATTTGTTTTGATTTCATCATCATCAATGGGGATGAGAAAATTTAGATGATTCCATTGACATCCATGGCCCGCAAAAAAGAAAAGAACAAGATCATCTTGATCTATTTTATCGATAAACGTTTTGATCATTGTATTCATCTGATCATATGTCAAATTAATACCAATTGTGATTTCAAAGTCAATTTTATATAATTTGTTAGCAAGATCTTCAGCATCATTGATACAATATTGAAGTTGACTATTTTTCTTGTATTCATTATTGCCAATGAGAAGAGCTCTTTTTGTATAAACTGAGTTATTTGATGATGGAAATCCGGAAGCCATAATCTATATATAAATTGGAAAAGATTCACAAGTTTTCATTCAAAAAAAAGGCAGACAAACCATCTCTTGAGGGGGTGGGTGTGGGTGTGGGTGTGGGTGTGGATGGATGCGTGAGTGAAGGTGTGTGTGTGAGTGTAGGTGAGGGTGTGAACTAAGAGACATCCACACCCTAATGTAAAGATAAAATCCTGATTGAATATCATTAATTTACCATAGAAAACGAAGCGAAGTGCAATAAGATGCTTTGAAAAAGATGATTTGAGACAATAAAAATGACTAAGTTAGACGAAAATAAATTCTTTGTATGCACGTTGTTTATCTCTGTTCGTTGTATTTGTCTGTGTTTGCAAGAGGTAACTTTTGTTTATCTCTTTTACCAATTCTTATCAACACAAATAAACGCGTTTGTCATAAGCAAACGAAAACTACAATATAGAAGAATGAAAGTTTTTTGAGAGAACACGTTTGATTTGATAAAAACAAATTGTAAGCGAACAGATACACATCATATGATATTTACTATATAATGTTATTTAACTATGTTTTTTTTTCAAGTCAGAGATCAAGGATATTGTATAAATTTTTTATAAATACTTGGTATTGTGTAGTTGAGAATAAATGAAGATATCATCATCATCTTCTTTCCCTCGTTTATTCTCTCCTTATATAAATACTCGCGTTTTCCTTCAATACTTCAAAGCAGTAAGAAAATACCTGATCTTGTGAACAGAACTGAAAATTAAATAAAAACAGATATGAATTTTGTCTCGATTATTTAAGTCAAATTGCTACCGACAACCATCTAGTATCAATAACCACACGAAGATGGTATATTATGTTTTGAGAACAGCAGATGTCTTCTGATGGACAAAAACCATCTCTATTCATTATTAATATTTATATGATCAATTTACTTTAAAATTACATGACATGTTGATAAACACTTTTATTTATTAAAATAAATCAATTTAAGTTAGTAGAACTAATTTCGGTTAGTATAAAATACTATTTATTAAAAATGCAGAATCTTTCTGATTCTTCAGAAAAGTTTTTTTTTGTGGAAATATTGAATTTCAAAATATTTGTATTTGTCATTAGAGATTCTGCATTTCTACATTCTGAAAGAACTAATATATAATATATTTATGTCTTTGAAAAAATATTTGTTGTATTCGTTTATGATCTTACACATCCAGTTATATCGGTAATTGCCGATGGACAGGTAACCTCTGTGAAGGTCATCGATGGGTTATCTGCACCTTGAAACCAATCAAAACGCCAGAAACAACCAGCTTGAAGCGCAGCTGGTAAAGAAGAACATTGATCTCGTGAACTAACACCACCATATTGTGCACCCCAGTAATAATTACCACCAGGAAATTGATTTGTACATGCATCATATATTCCAAAACCACCACCAGGTATTTGAATGTCAAATTGATTATTACCAAGATCACCACCTGTATTTGTTACTTGAACTATCATTTGTTTACCGGCAACAGGTCCTGAAGTAAATATCAAAGAATAGCAAGCACAACACCAAGTTGCTTCACTTTGACCCTAAAAATAACAAAATTATATACATGTATTCTATATGTTTTCGTTCTCTCTTACACTAATATCAGCAGCAGCAAAACCATATGAAAGAGTCGGACTAACAGCCCACGGTTGTTGATTAGTACACATATAACTATTACCACCATTACAAGCTGATTGAGCATTGTAATCAGGATTTTCATCGCCTTGTGATGTACATGTTTGAACTGGATTACTTACAGCCGCTTTGCCTGGCCATGAACAACTTGCTTTACAACAATCCCAATATCGAGTAGTGATACCTGCTTGACCATTATTATTTCCTGATGATGATGATGATGACGATGATGAGGAGGAGGAGGAGGAGGAGGAGGAGGATGATGATGAGGACGAAGCTGCTGTTGAACTAGGGTTGTTATTTGAAGAAGAACAAGATGATGATTGACCTGGTGGTAAACATTGCCAATAGTAATCATTTAAACAAGTACACACACTTCCGCTGCAACATGTTGTTAAACCATTCCAAGTAATTCCACCACATTGTTGATACATGAAACTGCAAGCCTCTAGAAAGAGATACATAAACAATCAAAATGTTTGCTCATCTACGAACGATTTATTGAGCTGGTAGAACTTGATGAACTGGAAGTGCTAACAGTAGTACTAATGGTAGTAGTAGGAGGAAGCGTTGTTGATGATGTACTTTGAGTCGTACTTGAAACAGTTGTGGAATCAGTACTACTAGCAGTTGGTGGCGATGTTGTACCTGGTTGACACTGTGAATAATAAGGATTGAGCTGATTACATGTTGAAGCAATACAACATACGGGTCCTTGCCAATTTTGACCTCCGCATTGGCTATAAGCATTGGCACAACCTATTTATATCAAGAAGTTATTCACTATTAATATTTTAAAAAATAATAATTATTTCTATACCACTATTAGCTGGATTACTGGTGGTGGTAGTAGCGATGGTGGTGGTTGTTGGATTTGTTGGACCCGTTAAACATTGTGAATACCATGGATTGCTGTATTGGCATGTTGTTGTTGGGTCACAACAATTTGTGTCACCTGAGTAGCCGATACCACCACATTGGCTCCATTGAGATGCGCATGGTGCTACATAATTATTATGAAAACTATTGATAATTGTATGAACAAACTTTCTTACTTGTTTTTGGTAGATTTGTCAATCCAATAAATAAAATCAAAATAATTTTTAGCATTCTTTATCGTTTATAAAGGATCTGCAATACTTGTGTTAAGTTTGTGATGTTATTTCTCTCCCATTTATAGTCCACCAACCAAACATTCCGTTGCCAACCTTATTCATTTAATTATACATGTACTTTTTTATTTAACCTTTTTATCAAGGACGAAAATATATCCTATTTTTAAGTTTTCATTATTGGAATAAAATGGCAAAGTTAAAAGAAATGTCCTTGAATAAATCTTTCGATCCATTCATATAGTGAAGAAAAACAAAAAAACAAAACAATTATAAACATTATCAAGGTTACTAATGCAGCTGAAAAGTACCTGTTATTTTTTAGGACATAACTCTGTCATTACATAAAAGTTCGCATCAGTTTATTTCTTTTTTTTTCTTTTGCGTACCTACATTTTGTTTTTAATACGCAGTGAAGCTCTTCAATCACGTGTATTTTTGTATTTTATATAATGCACCCATTCCTCTGAACCCCGCAATACGTTTTATGTTAATTGATTAAAAACAATAATGATTGATATTATTCTTAATATCGAATTGTCATCTGTTGCCCAAGTAAAATGATAAATGATTTGTCCATTATTCATATTCATATTCTTTTCCACTTCATTGAACAAGTTGTTACTTTGAACAATGAGATTGTATATCTGTAATTTTACTCATTAGTCTTTCGATTGAAATTTCAAATAGTTCAATCATATGTTACAATTTTTTGTAACTTTATCTTTCTCTTTGATTAATCAGACATCGAACGATTTACTATGCATACAATCATAATACTTAACATCAACAAAAGAAAAAAAGTATATTAAACTTTGTATCTTCATTTTTATTATTGTCGATAATACAGTGTGGAATAAAATTTTCTATACAAGAAAGTCACACTTCTTTGGTCATAATTGATTATCTTCAAAAAAGAAAAATAGATAATGCGCAACTAATATTATCCTATGGGAATGAAAGAGTAGCACTAATAAAATTAATTTTCATTCGTATTCTCTCATCATTATCTAATATGAAAGTTACAAAATAGTTGACATAAGATATATCATCATTTTCTTATAATTATTCTAAGATAGTATCCTATAAATGACAGATGTTGTGCTACCTTTATAATCTGGCATGTAAAAAAATTTCTTTGTTTTTTTTATAAATAATGCTGTCATGTTTTATTATAATAGCGAGAAAATACATTGTTCATCAGTATGTTATTCTTTGAAATCTATCAGTCTGTACAGGCATGCATGTCTGATGCTGGTCTGTCTGTCTGTCTGCCTGTCGGTACGTTCGTTATATAGTAAGATGAGTAAGTATTCGCTCGTTATGCATGCACAATCAAACAGGTGACAGTCAGACATCTACACCACTATTCTCTTGAGATCTGCTTTTATATATTTTGTCTGTCTGCTTTTGTCTATTCTTTATCTTTCGTATTTTAAGCTGATTGATTGAGGAGCGAGAGTTGCAATCTGTCGAAATTGACCTTTTTTTAGTGTTAAGTACATACATATCTCTTATGTGTATATAAATGAAATTGATCCCCTTACGTCTCTGATAGTATTCAAAATTGAGCTTCTTACAATGTGTACATAGAGACTGAATGATATATATACTTTTTTCAATTATATATATTTAAAATTTAACCTTTCTTTTGTCGTCTGTGACATGCAATATATTGTTAGTGATTATTACTTTAAATCTGAATGTCGCCGTTGATGATTGCTTGAGGGAAATAATAGAGTTTTAGCTTTATTATTACTATTCTAGTGTAATCATAAAAAAAACATAAATAGAAGTGAAAGTTAACTATTGCTTTTGTAGGTTAAAGGTGCCGAAAGTGGGTGCCACCACTACCGTCTTCATCACCAAAGGAAAATGAACAAAAAAAAAAGAATATATAGAATGCTTCAGGCTGTGCGTGTGTACGCTGTTCGATTGTTCCCATCACCACCTATGTTTGATGTATATCGCTCTTTTTTTTTTGCTCCTAATGATCGCTGTCGTTCAAACATCTGTCTCATTGACAAGAGTTTTCTTCTTTCGTTATTATTGCATAAGATTAGCGACAAGAAGCAGATGTGAATATAAAGATAGAAAGCAAAACTATAGGGGCGGAGTCGAGCATGTGTTGTAATTGAATAGAATGACATTTGGTATCTTGAACTAGTATAACTATTGTTTGTCTTGTACGTGTGGCTCCTCATTCATTCATTCATTTATTCATTCATATACATATTTGTATAATCATTCGACATACAGTGATAATTACAATGTTGATATCTAATCAAATGCCAATCATTGGATGAAGTTTTTTTAATTGATCCAAATCAAAAATTCAATTATCCAGAGAAGATGTTTTTTTCTTTCTTTTCTTTTTTTTCAGAAGATGAAATAGATCTGTCAATCATTTTCATTATTGAAAAAACACGCATGGTATACATGTGGTAGTCAAAGATTGCGATAAGAATATATAGAGTAGCCTTGAGATAAAACAAGAGCTTAATTGTGAATCTGCTTTATCTGAATGTAATGATGAACATTTGCAGATGTGTATGTATGGACAGCATGAACATAGCAGTAAGAAAATAACAAACTGAATGCTATCGTACGCGTGTCATCACCAATAACATATGATTAGGAATGTGAATTGATTTTGCCACATACATATATATATATACAAATGACCGTAGGTCGAGAATAAAAAAAAGAAAGAGGAAGAGATTTGTGAATCTTTGTCTTCTTCATTTCTGTTTAACTGAATGACGAAGAGAAGGAGAGAGAAAGAAGGACATTAATGGAGTGTCAATGAACGACACACAGCTGGTGTGCGCACACTCTTGAGTAGGTAAGTAAGGAAGGGAACCATCTGTACATTGAGTACGTACAGTACTTGAACATTTTTACTTTGTCTTTATCACATTGGTAAAATTAAATCTTTAAGAAAAACAGGAAATGTTTATAAATGAAAATTAACAAATTGAAAAAATGTAGCATTAAAATGTGAAATAACACTTTATAAATATTATCTTTTAATGGTATCAATCACACGTTAATGCATTTTCTTTTAACATTGACAAACATCTATCTCGTCACCTTTCTTTTTCTATTCTACTTTTGAACAAAAACATACATAGTTTTCTATGATTTCATCTTCTTTATTTTCATTCAATTGAATTTCATGTATGACTCTTATATAGTTTCGACACTTAAAGTCTCGGTCATCATCATCATCACACTTCTTTCGTCTAATAGTTCATAAGACTTCATTTGAGTATGTATGTATATATACATATATACATATATATGTAAGCATTGGTTGTCGTAACAATAACAACTTTTTCTAATTGTTGTGTGTGCGTCGTTTTCTTTTTCTTTTAACTGCTTAGAATAGACGACAATTGTGTTGCGACTGAACAATTGAAAAATAAAGTCGCCATTGTCTGGACAGTACCGGAGAGAGAGAAGAAGGAAATCGTTGGGGTACCACCCCACTAGAGAATAGTCTTATGTGTATATATATTAAAACACATTCGATTAGCACAAATGAGTTACATGAACATTTCTCTCTCTCTCTTTTATTTCATGGGAAATGTCACATCATAGTGACGTGTTGAATACAAATAGAGAGTTTCTTTTTAACTGATTGAACGAGCGCCATCATCTTCTTCTTTCCTTGTTACTGATTGAAAATCCATTTAGCGCCTGTCTGTGTAATCCATCCACTGCGTCGTTCTCTCGTTACACATGAATTCGCTCTTTTCTCTCGTTCTAGATGATACATTTTTCAATTAGCATCGCTATTGATACGTTTGTGAATATGTATCTATATATGTATGTATGTGAAGGCTGCTGTCGGTCGTTTTGATGAACAAAGTCGAATGAGGAGGTTAATTGTAAGGCGATAAAGAATGACACTCTCTTGTTTCTATATACAATAAGTGAAGGATTAGAGATTCTCTTCTCTTTTCACATTTGTTCATTTACTCTGCATCAATGAGAATTTTCGCGCTCTTGTTCATTTTTTCTCTCTTTCCTTTCTCTCTCGTCCATTCATTCATTCATTATTTTATAACTTTCTACCCCATACTGGGCTGTGGAGAGTATGACCTTCTTTCTATCACATATCAATTCAATAGAGTAGCATATAGGTAAGGATAAGTCTTCCGTTTAGTATATACTACCGGAAATCAATAGGTGGGTAAGATAGAAAATTTCTTTTCCATTATGACATATACAATAGATAATGTATCATAGTGTGAATTGTGAAGGAGAAAAAAAACGTCTAGTTGCGGCATTTCTGATGCTCTATTTTTGACTTGCTAAATCAATTTGTCATCGTTTATATTCTTTTTTTTCCTTATTCGTTTTATGTTTGTTTCTCGTTGCGATATCTCTATCTATTGTTTTCTTGCGTTGAGTGAATAAGATACATCAAGATTATCTTCTATCAGTCTGAATATGTTTGTTTCATCTCGTCTCTTCCTGGAGGCGGCTCTCAACAGTCATAACAGCTGTAATTTTTGAAGGTAAAGTTCTCAGAGAATAGACAATAAAGATGCTCAAATCTTTTATTTATACACATGACTCAGCATGTGTCTATACAATGAATTTGATTCATATCAAACTCATCATTCATTTCTGATTTGAGAGAATAACTTTGTATAAGTCGGTATATATTTTGATTAAAGGCTATAAAAAAAGATGAAGAAGACAAATGGTGATGCGAAACGATCAAGTGCAGATCACACACACACACACATATCGAGATTAATATCGATGATAAGTATCCTCCCTATTCAAAAGGTGTGAGAGTTAAATCTCAAAAATTATAGCTGTCGATCGAAATGATCGATTATTATTATAACCGTGTCCAATTTAATGTTGGCATGCAACATTTTTCTCTCTCTCTCGTTCTCTTCTCTTCTCTAGTTGTATACAAACAGTAAGCTTTATTTGTTCATATTTTTAAGGTTTAATAGTAAATGAGAAGTGTATGTATTGTGTACAGGACGTGATGCAATCAGCATCACTCGTCGCATTCGTGTGTCCGAAAGGCTAAAAGCTCTTGTGTGTATTTGTTAAGACGTACACACGTATATGAGAGGAAATATTCGAGTGTAGGTATGTCTATAATAAAGAAATTGTACGTTCGTATGTTGTCTTATATAAACAATGACATTTATTCATTGGTTTATTTTCAATGTCCGGATGTTTAAGGATAAAATGGACTATTTTATAAGGTAAGTAGGGGATTTTTTTCTTCTTCTTCATATTTTATTCATAAATAAGATCAATTAATGATTAGTTAACAAATCATTAAATATTCAAAAGAAGTTTTTTTTTTCTTATTCTTTAATTATAGATAATGCCATTAAGAATTTTTTTAATCTTTTTTCTAACTCCCGTATACGCAATAAATTTACTTGATTTATGTCAATCTGGTATTCGTGATGATGGTTCAAATTATGTTCATTGTGCACGAAAATCACTTTCAGAAATTCCACATTTTTCTTCACATCGGCTATTTAATTTAGCATTTGATGAACTTATTCTATCTGATAATGCTATAACACATATTGATGCAAATGCATTCAATGGTTTACGTATAAAACGTTTAATTATGTCGGGTAATCGTTTAAAATCCATTGATAAAAATGCATTTCGTGAATTAGAAAATTATCTTGAACAATTAACATTAGAATTTGATCCAACAATTGTTGATACAATACCTGAAGCAATACAAACAAATCTTGCTAATATAAGAAGTTTAACATTAACTGGTTTAAATCTACGTACATTACCATCGAATGTATTTGAACAAATGAAAAAATTAGAAATTTTATCATTAAAATCATGTAATTTACAATCGATTGATTATGATGCATTTCATTCAATTGAAAAACAATTACGTTATTTATATCTTGATTATAATCAACTTGATAATCGTATATCAAATATACTAAATCGTTTAATAACATTAGAAACATTATCATTATCACATAATCATATAAATCAATATGAATTAAAATTAATTAATAAAAATCTTCGATATTTAGATTTATCATATAATGGTTTAGGTAAATTATTTTTAACAAATATGAAAAATTTACAAATATTAAATGTACAAAATAATCTTTTAACTTCCGAACAAATTATTGGAACAATACCAAATCAATTAAAAGAATTAATACTTGATTTTAATTCAATACGAATGTTTAATGAAAATTTTTTGCTGGAAAATAATCTATTAGAAACTTTATCATTACAAAGTAATGATTTTTTATTAAATAATTCAACAACATTTCAACATTTAAATAAACTTAAACGATTAAATCTTGCAAGAAATAATATTAAAATAATACCAAAAGGTAAACATTCATTAGAAGATAGACAATATTTTCCGGTAGGAAATAGAAAACAATAGTTGCTTTAGGAAGGAAGATATTTATTGACATAGACAAGACAATTGAATTGATGTCTGTAAGAATTTTATAAGAACAAGGATATGAGTAATGTTAGTTTGAACTAGTAGTAAAGGAAGAGTTTCAAGTGTCAGTCGCCGTTTCAAACGGAAGACATACTAATTTTTTATATAGAATTTTTTCATAGAAAAAATTAGTCATGAAAGTAGATCGAGTAATATGTTATCTGATTAGACTCGCAAGAATATCAGCCATTATTTATAACTTAAGTGGCGGGTGTGAATACTGTATCTGCCTCACACACATCCTTACCCACCCTCACCCACCTTCACCCATCCTTACCCACCTTCACCCATCCTTACCCACCCTCACCCACCTTTGCCCACCCTCACCCACCCTCACCCACCTTCACCCACCCACACCCTCAAAGAACTTCTGAATCAAAGTTTTGTTATTTTTACGCAATAAAAAAGACCATATTTTTGTTTTTAATATATATGTTTTATCTTGTTAATAGGTTTATTTAATTTTACTGGTTCACTTGAACATTTAAATATGGATCGTAATCCATTACTTCCATTAGCAATTGATACATTTTCTGGTATTGAATCTTCATTACGTAATATAAGTTGTCAATCTTGTTCGTTAACATCAGATTCTTTACCAGCATTTTCTCGTTTAATTAATCTTGAACGTTTCAAACTTCAATCAAATTTATTTACTGAAATAAAACCTGATACATTTTTTTCATCTATGCCAAAATTAATTGCTATTGATTTACAACGTAATCAATTAAAACAAATATCATCAGAATTTCCAATAACATTACGTGAATTAGAATTAGGAAATAATTATTTGACAAATTTACCATTTAATAATAAAACATTCCAACAAATATCTCAATTAATCACGTTAGATTTAAGTTCAAATCCACTGCAATGTGATTGTCATATTAAATCTTTATATCATTGGTTATTAACACATTTTCAAACTGAACTTGTTCCATATGTACAATGGATATGTGCTCAACCAAAAGAACTTTCCGGTAAACAATTAGGATCTCTATTAGAAAATCAATTGATATGTGAAGATATTCCAACAACAATAACTACTAATTCTATTGAACTAACAACTGAACATCAAAATCTTCCTTCATTTAATGTTTGGTTAAAAGATTCTGACATAGCAATTCTTGAATGGTCCTATATATTATCTCCATTAAAATTAATTGTCTATGAAAATGGTTATAAATTACCCATACTTGATTTAAATTCAACAGATAATTATTTTCTTCTTGAAAAATTAAAATCATCAACAAATTATACTCTATGTCTTGAAAGTAATCAACAAATTTTATGTCGAAATTTATTAACACCAATAAAATCTCAACAAAAAATTTTATCATTATCATCATCATCAAAATTTATTGAAAAACCTTCATTTATTAATGATATACAATATCTTATAACGGGTATTGCATGTGGAATTATTGTTGTATTAGTTATTCTTTTATTAGTCATCGTTTTTCTAATGAAACAACGAGAAAAATTTCATCATAATTCATCAAAAACAATTGCAACAGATTCATATTATCAAACAACTGGTTCTGATACAACACAAATAGGTGGATCATGCTCATTAGATGAACGTTCAACACAACAATCAAACATATCACCTATGTTTTATTATTGTCGTTCACCGCCAATATCAAATTGTTGTCAAGAACAACAACCCTATCATTTCTATCATGAAATTCCATTTACAACATCATCAAATCATTTAAATCCACCACCACCGTGCCTTTGTAGACCACCTATTACTATTTAATTTATTTCGAACAGTTGTTTTTTTTCTTTCTTTTCTTTGCTTTTTTGTCTTTACTAGTCAGATATGCGCCGTATATTTGTTATTTTTTGTGTTTCATTGAAAAAACATAATGTGTCTTATCGATTGAAAAATATCTCATTAAATCGTGTCAACTTTTACACATTTATCTATACAATGTGTGAAATGATTTGTAAGCAAATGTGAACTATTAAATGGAAGATACGACAGATGACATATGGATGAATGAATTGAAGAAGAGCGTGAATGTCGAATTTATATGACCGATATTCGATTAGAAATAGTGAGAAAATTTATGTGCAATCGAGCATGATAATACATCATATGAACAAGCTGTTTGTTGATTAAATATTATAGTAGGATAATCAATTTGATTGATCTATCCTATCTAGCAAAAACAAAATAAATTATAGTTTCAACAGGAAATCATAACATTGTAATGATTGATAATTTATTTTAAAATAATTATAACGATATATCCAAATCTTGAATTTATTCTATCTACTTGATCGATCATATTTCAAGTCATCATATTCTTTCTAAAAATAATTTCTAGTAACTTACAAATACTATCGCTACATAACATGTTACTAAAGTGGTTAACTCGATTATGATATTTTATAGAATGAAGTAGCATATGTTCTCAATGAAGTGAAGTGTTTCATCAAGTAGTCTGTTGTCTAGAATCAAAATAATTTCTGATATTTATTTATTGTTCACAATGTACAATAACTTGTTTATTAATAATGAATTTAAACAAAAAGAAAAAGAGATAAGTTGACCAATAGACATATAAAGCACCACAGAACGAAAAATATAGAATTCCTGTTTTGTTTTTTAGTTTAATTTATATTAGTCGTATTTGTATGAAGTAAACGATCATTTTCAATTGCTTCCGATGTTATAGCTGCTGAATTCGTTTCAGTTATTTTTTGACGATCATTATGTAGATTTGATTTTAATGGTAAACCACGTTTGGGTTGTTGTCGTTGTATAGCATTATACGTTGCATGTTTTCTACCACCACCATCTCCTCCAACTGTATTATTACCATTTTTATGATTTGAGAGAAATTTTCCACATGTTAAAAATTCTTGAAATGCTTTACGAAATGGTTCAGATAAAAATGCATATAATATGGGATTAACACATGCTGATATATAAACAAGAGTTTGAGCAACAATAGCAAATAGAAATGATACTTGATTATGATGTGTACCTAATAAATAAAGTTGCATTGGTGTCCAACATATAATAAATGATGATATAACAGCTGAAACCATTTTTGTTACACGTTTTTTTCCTTTTGCTACTTGTTGACCTTTAGCATTTTTACGTAGAACATTTATAATAAGGCCATAGAGTATAACAATTATAATTAATGGAACAATTAAACCAAATAAAGCAAAAAAATAAGCAGTTACACGTCGAAGAGTCTTTAGAAAAGGTTTATCATCACGAAATAAACATACCCAAAAATCAGCACTTTCATCATTAAGTAATACATCATAATAAAACCTTTAATAAGATAACATATTGATTAATTATTTCTTTCTTTTTTTCTCATTCAAAAATACTTACATATTCGGTGAAGAAAAAATGATACCAATTAACCAAACAACAATGACAGCCAAATGTGCATTTCGTTGAGTACGATATTTACTTGATTTAACAGCAAAAACAACACCAAGAAATCGATCAACTGACATTAACACAAGAATATAAATACTAACATATGCACTTAAATACATCAATGTATTTGCTAATTTACATAAAAGACTTGGAAAATAATATGAATGAACAACATAAATATATATTGTATGTGGTATACACATAAGTACAAATGATAAATTTGCAATAGCTAAATGTAAAATAAGTGCATTTGTTGTATTACGCATTTGTTTAACTGTAACAACAGTTAATATAACTAAAATATTTCCGATTGTACCAATTACAAAAACAAGTGAATAAAGTGGGATAATAAGATAAAGAAAATAATCTGAGACTTCATCTTCAGGTGGAGTTTTTTCTTCCAAATTTGAAGTATAATTTGATATAGTTGAATTAAGAAATGTTGTATCGTTAATAGGCATGATATTAAAATTATTAAGAAGAAATTCAAATGAATAATATTTCCAATTAAAATTTGAAGAAGTTTGTGAATAATGTTGAATATCAGACGATGATACACCGGGTAGAACACGAGATAAACGATGTGATGATGATCCATGAGGATTGGATGAAGAATAATCGATCTCGCCAAACATATCCAAATTTGAATAAATGAAGAATTGATTCTTTATAGAAACAAAAGAAGAAAAAGTATATATATATTATATCAATAGTTATTTTTAGCAAAAATCAAATCTAATTTCTTTTCTTTCTTTTTTTTTTTGTTTTATATAAGAGTCCAATACTGCTTTGTAGTCATTCGATCAATCAAATTGATTTTCCCTTGAGTCATTATTTATCTCAACTACTGAACATCGATCGACTGATTTATATTGATCGATCGAAAATAATCATGCACGTATTCATTTGAATTTTTTTTAATATTATATTGAATAAATTTATTGTCACATAACACATCAAAATTCAATTCAATGTTAGGTTTTCTTTTGATCAATTTAGAGAAATAGTTTTATCTGTTCTATTTTTTCCCTGAAAGAACAACATAACGATTTGCTTTGTTACATGTCATCTTTTTTACGATGACATATATTTACAAGTATAGTCAAATAGTACTCTGTTGATTGTCAACTAAATGAATGTATGCATATGCACGCATTCTTTTTTACTATTCCTATTAGTCTTTTAACTAATATATAATCTATGTTACTGGTTTTTTTTCTTCATCTTCTCCCCAATTCCTTTTTTCTTTCCGAAAGACGAAAACGACATGTGTGCCGGAAAGTGGTTTGCCCTTAGAACCAATCATCCGCAATAGATAAGAGCTGACTAAATCATAAATGAACAAAGTATGAGTGTGTTATATATATGTAGCTCAAAATATTTCGAACTTTTATCTCTAGATGTTTATTAATAATTATATACATATTAAATTTTTGAGAATACTTCGAAAAAAGAAAAACTTATTACATCAATATTTCTTTTCTTCTTATTTTTTTCTACGCTATAACTATTAGTTCGTTATGATTGACGGCTAACGGAAGTTCTATTTGCTTTAAATTTACTAGAGATTGCATGATAGCATCAAAAGAAAAATAGATTAGATGATACGTTTTAGTATATCTATGATCTCATATATATATATATATTGATTAGTTTATAAGGAATGAAATCTATGCTTTTTATTTTGAAATCTTTCTTATGTGACGTGTATGCATTTATATATATACTCAATTATATACTCATAGAATGACATGAAAAAGCAATCAATACCTACTTGTGAATGGCAACTAGAGTAAAAATCGTTATGTTTGATGAGTATAGACAAGAGATTTTGCTTATCTATTCCAATACCCCCACCCACATACAAAACGAGATGAAATGTCGATTGGACGGAGAGAGAGGCGAGAGAATAAGCTTAAGAGTGTGTTGGATAACATGTGTTTTTAATCGATCTTATAGTTAAACGAACTAATAGATCGTTACCATTCATTCCGTTACTCAATATATTTCATCTAATCTACTTCATAAGTCAATATGTTATTATTATTTTAATAAAACACAAAACAACAGTTTGATGATAATAATAATCAATATGATAAAAATAACTTAATAACCAGTAGTTACTTTTTAGAACTTAATCTTGTTTTGTTTGTCATATTTGATCTTATTATATTATCATACAACTAATGGTTATTTGACAGAATCTTTCATATTTCTTAAGTAAATTCAGTTGTCATACGTTACGAAAGAGTAATCATCTGAATAGATATATTTATTATGAAGAAAACAAAAAAGAAAAGAAAGTAAAAACGACAGATCATCGTATCGAAACTCCTATATATTCAAACGACATGATATAGTATTCTTACCGTTACAAATAATTGTTTGTCATTTTTTCTATTGCTACATATATATCAGATTACTATCGGCAATGATTTTACTAGCTACACACGACATTTTTTCTACCTTTGTATACATGATCTATTAATTAGCTTATACTTTTCTCAGTACATAATAACGATGTTTATTATAACGAATAAAGAAAATATGTAGGATCTAATCTATATATATATATATATATTACTTAAATGAATATCTAAATAATGACTTCGGGATAGAAAAGTGCAAAAAAACAGAAGACGGATGAACAATAATAAACATATCTTCAAGCAAATTATATTCTCTATGTGTGTGTGTGTTTGTATAGTATCCCACCTACCCGATTTCATCATTTGTTGTTTGTGTGATCGTTTATATGATTGAAATACTTGTTGTAAATCGTTTACAAATGTGTTATGAAGAATAATACGTTTTGTCTATATATGTATATTCGGTTGTGAGAACAAAGCTCAAGTATCTTTGTTAGTTGTCGACGTTAAGTGGAGGAAGCAATCACAAGCAAACGAGCAGAAGACTTCTATAGTTCTGCTTTTCACTTTCTCTCATTTCTCTGTCTCTTTGTCTATTGAATTTCTAATATAGAGATATTGCTAACTAGGGAACAATGCATCTCTTTTTTTTTTCTTCGCCCGACAAAAAGCACACATACACTAGACGTCAAATAGCCAAGTGCATAGACTTCTTCGTTTAATATGATTATTTTATTTTATTGTCAGCTTTTTCTATGCTAATAAAAACGGCAAATATGCATAGATAAAAATTAGTCATATATGATTTTATTAACAAATTAAAGTTTTTCTTACTTCGTGCAAAATAAAAAAAAACAAATTATTACATTATTTTCTAGATTTTTCAATTGTTTTCAACTAATGATAAATATGTAATTAAAAAAAGTGTTTTTATTTTAACGCCGTCTGATCTACTTTTCTTCTCTAAGGCTTAATTAGTTTTTCAATCATAACGAACAAATTGCAAAATCTCCCTTTTCCCCTTCAAGCTATAACTAATATAGATTAGAAAATGAATTTTTCTTGTTTTGAATATATAAATATTAACATCAAGTTCTTTTTCTACTAGGATATAATGATTTAAATTGAATTTTTTAATGAGAATATTTGTGACAAGCTGTCATTGACTTACCTGATCGGAAACAGTTTGAAAAGAAGAAATTGACATAAAAAGGAAACAGGCGGATACAAAAAAGAATGAACTTGAAAATGAACAAGAAAACTTATTAATTATCTAAACGAAATTGATGACCGTAAGGCTGATGGAATATAAAAAAAAGCACATGATTTTCTCTCTTTCATATTCTTCTTTAAGACAGTTAACTATGAACACAACAGATTCGATTAAACACATATACCCAAATTTATTTACAAAATCTTCTCTTTAATCGTCTGATATATAATAATGGAATTCTTTTTTTCTTCTTCAAATTCAATCAAATCGTACATGCATGCTCTAGTTATTTATTCATATACACAATTATCTTCATTATCAATCTACATATCGACTATTAATATTGAAAAATTATATACAAAATGTATTCCATGTAACTATACTTTTAGATTTCTTCTGGCAAAATTTCCTTTTAAAAGCTATCGCGAACATAACATCCGCTATAGATCTATCGTTCCATATATCTAATAATAGTTTCATAAGACTTCTGTTTTTTACAAATGAACTAAAATTCATTGGTATTCTGATTAATCGGATAAGAAAATGAAATCTTACAAAAACATATTTAATATACCAAGAAGTTCAACTAGTTCAAAGATTAAAAGAGTTGTCAGTAGCAGAAATCATATCGAACCCTAGATAATCCCTATTTATTCGAGGTAAAAAAACAGAATGAATATACGTATAATTAAACTGAAATATAAAAACTAGATCGAATGATATTTTTGCTACCAAAGTCACTGTATGATGAGTTATTTTGTAGGATGCCGTAAATAGATATAAATATATGTTCTTTAATAGTATTTCTAAGGTCAAAAAGTATTGATTTTAACAACTATAATTTATCTTTCATTAACGATCTTCTATGGTTGAATACAATATTCCCGTGTGTTGACACGTTCCTTCGATTTGATCTCTTTCATGATGTCAACCATAGTGTTTATTCAAGAATAATAAATTATTTTTCTCCCATTTTTTATTAAAAAAAAAAGAAGAAAAATTATCGTGATCTTTATTCATCAAAGGACATAGTGACAAGAATATTCGAATCGAATTTATTAATAATTAAAAACAGTGTTTTATCCAGCGGGAGGATAGTGTGGGCATCGCTCTCCTGAAAATTACAATTTTTGTGTGTATACTATGTATTTGGCCTTCAGAAATTAAATTTTCGTCCTCCCGGAAATCCCTATCGCACTTTCGAAAGGAAATACTTAGATAAAACACTGATTAAAAGAGACCGATTACTTAGAAAACTGATGTACATTTATACACTATTCAGTCGATTGTTTATTCTCGTCTCTGATAAGCTATACAAACAAATCATATATTACAGATCCTATTAATTAAGAAGTAATTCTATTCAAAATATATGAGCTATTTATTTTCGAATTGCATAATTCGCTTGGTTAAAACTTAATTTCATTAAAATGAAACAAACAAACTTATTACTGTCAAATTAACATTTACGAAAAAAAATATTTCTGTTTGACATAAATTTTGTTTTTTTTTATAAATAAAATTAATGTTTACGATATACAATTAAATTATAAAACAAAAAATTTCAATGATCTAAATAACTTACCACGATCAAATAAATTGTGTGTTGTACTTCGTCTTGTACAAAAGAAAAGAAAAATGAATAGCAGACAAATAATTTACCAGATATTAATGTAAGTCCCTTCTCATTCTCATAAGAGTTGCACACATAAACAAAACAAAAGAGATACTCAAGAAAAAAGAATTATTAATGGCATCATATAAGGCACTTTTTCATTCTCATCAATAAATACTTTGTCTTATCGTTTTTTTTTTCGTCATTTATCAGCTATACAAATAATACATTATTTAAAAGAATAGAAGAAAAAAAAAATTCATGTGAACTTTTACATAATTAAAGACAAATGGGAATATAGTTTATCGTTTGTCGATTTATAATAGTCATAGGGGACTTTTTTGTTACAGATCTGATCAATTATGAATTTTTAAGATTTCATCAGACATTGATCTTTGTCCTTGATCGTTTATAAATAATATGTTCCGATTAATCAATTCTTATAATATACAATCAATGTAGTATATCGATTTATCAAAAACGACTAATCTAAACCAATAGCGTTAATAATCGTTTTATCTTCTCTTAAAAATTTCATTCAATCGATTAGATTAAATAACACAAAAAAAAGTTAATATATGTTTGTTTGTTTATTTCTTTTAAAAACATTATATTAGAATATAACAAATCAAAATCTTTTACTTACTTACCTAAATGAATTCGTTTTAGTTTAATTGTAAATCATTGTAGTTGTTCTTTTTTTTATCATTTGTAAGAATATTCTTCATATTAACTTTTCAAATGCATTGAAGAGAGAGAGAGTTTATTCGCGCATCATTGAGTCTATGATGCATGTCTGATGTTTTACGTAAGTTAATTGTTAGTAATGATAATGATTTAAGATTTGATCAAGTGTTGTTTGATGTATCCCGCGAGACAGGATAAGAATGAAGTAGGAGATGTTCTGTTATAATCATGATCGAGTTCTCAAGTTAAGAAAAAAAGACTGTTTGTGTATGTGTGTGTGTGTGCATTTGTCATTCAGATAGACATAAGAAACGAGGAAAAGGAAAAAGACAAAAAAGATACGATAAGGAAAAAACTATAGATCGATATTGAACACAGATTTTCTTTTTCCTCTTGATTCTCTTTACTATTCATCCATGCATCATACTACACACACACACACACACACGATAGAATGAAGGATTATCGAGAGCTAGTCATAAAAAAAGAAAGAAAGAGAATAACACCATTTTTTTCGCCTCAAAGATGAACAACAATCGATTGGGCGGAAACACAATTTGTTATTGTTCGATCGTTGTCAATGACTTAGTGTCTATTTTACTATACAACGAAATATTTTGAATGAAAATTAAATATTATTCTCATTGTATATATGCATGTTTACATTCAATTTATATAAAATAGTAAAATATAATTAAATATATTGATATACATAGAAATCATTCATTCGCATCAAACGATTAAAAACATATGTAAATAAATTGAATACAATATTTTGAAGATATTCTTCAATGATGAAAACACGTACTATCAATCATAATGATTAGTCTATGTGTAAACAATTTTAACGAAAAATGGAAGGAATCTACTCATTGCATTAGTAGGCAGGCGATGTAACGTCTTAAGTACACACTATCTGTTGCCATTAAAACATTAATTTTACAGGAAAAAACATCAATAATATCTCCTAATTTTCGATTTCCTCTCATACATCCATTAATATTATTTCTACTACATGAAATTATTTAATAACAGATTTGTTTTTCTTAGTCTTAGATATTATGTTATCTTAACTCTATTTGCATTTATATTCTTGTTGTTTTCTATCCTTTCTGTATGTATTGAATAAATTAGTCACACGAAAATCCTTATTTATTACTATAATATGTATTAAACTAGCTATCCCTATGAGATTTTCTATATATTTATTTTCTCTTCTAACAGAAATTATTATCAATATCTATCTTTTCTCTAATAACAAAAATATTTTTGAGCACGTTCTTTTTTTTTTATTCAATTGTGTACGACTCTTTTCGTTTATATAATTATTAACTGACATTATTCATTTGTCATACTGATAGACTTTTTCGGGCAATGTATGAAGAAGAAGAAGAGAAAAAAAAGAAAATACACTTTCTCAACTAGACATAACATTTATCTATATAAAATGTCATACATCTAATAATAAGATTCAAGTACCAACTATCAAGTACTTAAAATATATAAGAGAATTTAACTTGTTACATCATTAGTTGTTAACAAAGTACAATACTATAAAGACTTGATTGCTTGTTCATAAACAAGAACAATAACGAATAGTTAGTTTGAATAGAATAAGAGTTGTTATGAAAAAACGATTCAAGAAATTCTCTAATTGAATATCTAAATCAATTAGATAATAATGCAAGTAATCGAAGAAAAAGAAAAAAAATGTCTAAGCGAATATTTTCTAGCTAATATATTCTTTTCGGAAACATTATTTTATATGATTAAAAGAGAATTATTAACAAAGTGTCATTGGAAAAAAATTTAATCTTCAGTCTTTTCGACCTTTTTTACTAATGAATAGTGAAAGGATTCGAACCTTCGTTTCTAGAAGGAATCTGTTCACTCCATTAATAGGTAGACCGCATAAGCACTTGAGCACACTGTCTATTCTATTTAATTATTAGTAATTATTTTGTACAAGTCAACAAATCGAAAAGATTATGATTATAATAATTCTGTATAGTTTGAAAACACACAAGTTAATAACGTTGTGAATGGTATAATTAAAATAGTCAAGATGTTCATTGTGAATGTCACTGTTCCTTTATTACAAAGATGTCCCATACAACAGAAATGATTTGGACTCAATGAAATACATGTTCTACCAGTTGAACCTCGATTAGTAATACCACTTACAATACGTTTCTGAGAGAGAAAAAAAGATTATTAAAGAAATACTTTTATATATTGTAGTACTTACATAACACCAATCATTTTCATTCACAGTTACACGTAATTCTGTTGCATTATTGAATATTTCATTACACATTGTGCATAGATAACATTCTTTAGCTAGAATATTTCCTACTATGAAGTTATAGTAATTAAAATTTTAAATTAATGAAATAGGAAATTAAGTTACCGAAGAGAAAAAGAAATATATACGACATTTCAAAGAAAAAGGAATTAATAAGGATGTCTTTTGTACGTATATATTTGAAAATCAAAGTTGATAAATGTTCTTCTTACAAAAACTATGAGTACAATAGAGTCATTTCGCCTTGATAATTTTTTTGTTCATATACAATCTTTGTATAAAATACAGAAGATATTAACTTTTTCTCGCCAAAAATCAAGAAGCCTATTAAATTACAGTAATTTTACCTTTAGACGCTTTGACACATTTTATAAGAATCAGCCGTATCATAGTTTGATTTTTAATCGAAATCTTTTATTTCACTTTTCAATAAGAATATTACTCTACGATTAATTTATTAGTTACGTTTTTTTTCTGCCAAAAAAAAAAATTTCAAGTTTCAAAATCGTATCTATTCGTTTTTTAAAACGAGTAGTTTATTATTAATAAAAAAAAATATATTTTAGAATATACAGTTTGCTTGCTTAATTGAGTGATAGTTCTCTTTCTATTTTTTTCGATTCTTCTCCATAATTGTAAGAATTCTAATGAATATATTGATAAAATCAAGATATATTCCAAGTGCATCATTAATTGGCGATAATTGTTTTGTACTATGAGCTTGTTCTGCATGTGCAATAATCTTTTTAGTATCCCATAAAACTAAACCAGAGAAGACAACAAGTCCACCATAAAGAGAAACATTCTCGAAAACTGATAAAGTACGAACAAAAGTTACTGGCAGGATAAGAGATCCCATAGAAGCACATACAACGGCACCAAGACCAGCCACTAAAAGAGTAGAAGAAATATTTTTCGAAAAAATAATACTAAGTAGTTTTTTAAAACTTACTGAGTGGAGCACCTATCCACAAATATTGTTCACGTCTTGCTGTCATACCAACAGCACTAATTGAACCAACAATACCAGTGGTCATAAGAGCAGCACGAGCGATTAAAGCAGGTTGCATGAAACAAATAGGTGCTAATGAAAGACCCATAAGACCATTAAATAGTGTCCATGTTGCATATTTAAGTCCAGGATTTTGTTGATCATCAATAGCTTGGGTTGCAATCATAGAACCAATAGTACCCACTAGCGTTACACCGATATATGCCCATTTGTTCACTATTTAAAAAAAAAGAACGGTTTTTGTTTTTATATAACTATAAAATATCACTACTCACTCATCATCAATCGTGTTGACCATCCATTTCGATGAAAAATATATGCAAATGTTCCTGTCAGTGCAAGACCACCAGCAAAATGTGCATAAGTTGAACGTAAATGTTCTTTAACAACAGGAGAAAAGGGTCGATTTGCTTCGACTGCATCAGCAAAAGATACTTGTTTTGATTGTGTCACAGCACCTGGTACAGTACCAACTGGACTATTAAGAACCTAGATAACATGAAAAATTCGAAAAATAATTTAACAAATTTTTCTTTTATTTGTTTTACTTTATTAAGTAAGTATCCAGCGCCACCGATAGCAACAATAGCTATTCCTCCTCGAATAAGTGCTTGTTGTTGACGATTTGCTGCTCTTGAATTAACAGCAATCGATTGGGATCGTCTCATCACTTGAAGTGATAATGATGAACCCAAACGCATAGTTGGTAAACGAACAAGTAATGGTAACATTTTCTTTTGTTAATATCTAAAAATATAATTACCAAGTTACTGTATTTGAAATGTATACTTATAGGGGTTAAAGGGGAAGTGGACAGAGTATGATCAATGATTAAGCTTCTAGAATGTTTAGAAAGGTGATGAAATGATATAGCTATTACTTGTAGCGACTCTATTTAAGTCTCTTTTTTTTATTTTTTCGTATTTGTTCTTATTATTCACCAATAATAAATCGATAGGATACAATGTCGCTTCTAGTCGTTTGTTTCTTTTGGGATTGAAAGATCTAATATAACTGAATATGTTCCAGTGGCTTGTAATCGTTTGAGTTTATAAACTACTGTACACGTTCTTAGTACATCACTGTTCGTACCACATGTATAGGTACATGTTAAATTGTTGATAGATAATTTTGGTAGATCAAGAAAATAAAGATTGTGTGCATTTAATGTCATTGAAGTTGCACATGCAGAAGATGACCATGTACCTTGAATAGCACTTTGTGGACTACCACTATCAGGTATTGTAATAAGAGCAATAAAATTTCCATTCGATGATAAAAGTAAAGTTCCTGAATAGGACATTATTCCAGGAGAAGAAAGTGTCATACTATAACGTGTTGATGTTACTGTTGTTGTCGTTGTTACGGGACAAAAGATTAACGATGCCAATACTTGATTATTAAGATAAAAACAGATAAAAAGTATGAAAATCATAGTGTAATCAGTACAAATAGAAAATGTGATTTTTGCACGTGTGATAATAAACGGTAGATGAAGACGAATAGACGAAACGAAGCGTACAATAATATGTAACAAGGTTTGTTTTGTTTCTATATTCAAAAATAATCTCGTGAAGTATACTCTTCTAGTTGTATTTTATATTACATCTTTACTTCTTGCATATTAATTATCATAATCATTTTCTAAGTAGTATTGTGTGAAACACAACTTGATTGAACTAATTATAACTATGAATGTTGAACGAGCATCATAGCGGAAACATTTTCGATTAAATCTATAGTAAAATTAGACATACTACAAACAAAGTCAATGAATATATTAAATTGCTAATTGATTTTTAACATGAAATGATTAAAAAATAAAATTATACTAAAATACGAATGATAACTTTATCTATTATCTCATCTCTTTTCAATAATTTTACTTTTATTCTAAAACAACAAATTATTTATTGTTTCTTTTTATGCATATTTATCTTATATGAATATAAATAAATCACCAACAAAAAAAATAAAAGTTTATTATACATTGTTTTCAAAAGAATTATAATCTTTAATTCATATTTAAGCAAGACGAAAGTCTTCAAGATCACTACGTGGTAGTACATTATATGCATATTGATTTGGAAAATTACCAGGTGGATAATAAAGTGCAACACCATACCTAAAAAAAAGAAATTCAACATAAATATAATTGAGAGAGAAAAAGAAATGTTACCATTGTTTTTTATCTTCTGTTTGACAACGACCAAAACCAACTTCTCTTGTACCTTTCCAAACGACTTGTGAAAAGTGAAGAGTATTTTCTTGTAAATCAGCATTAAAATCATGTCGTCGAACTTCTCGATACCACATATCAGTAAGACGATCACCTTTAAGTATAGGTCCAATAAAATATGCCAGACTTTCACCTAATACTGATCCTTGATAACGTCTCCATTGATCAGGACTATGTTTAAGTTCATTTATTTTAGCTAATTCACGTGCCCAATCCGTAGCAGCTTTATTTAAATATTCATTTGCCATTAATGGTCCTGCACCATGTTGTATACGAAATTGATTATGTTCCATTAATGCTTCAATAGCAAATTTCGAATCATCATATTGATCAATATCTGTTGGATCATCATCTTCATCTTTTTTATTCTGTTCAACTGGTATGAATACACTTTGTAATGGCTTTGTAATACCCCATTCTTTATTATACAAACGTTTTTCACCTGTCAGCGGATCAATTTCATTCAACTTCCTATGATGACAGAAGTAGTAACATATTGCAACATTAACTGCAATAATAATAACAACAGCAAGAGCGATAATTAACCAAACATACCAATAATATTGAAAAAAACGATTTACTTGATCAGCTCCATTTAAATTACCGAGTGAACTAAAGAAATCTGAGATCGAACCAAAAACATTGTTTTGACTCATTGTAATTTATTCTAGATCGAATCTAAAATATTTAATATAGTTGTTCTTATCTTAAAATTCAATATAAAATAAAAAGACTAATGCATTCCACGTGAAAGAAAGAATTGTTTTATATACATTAATTGCAACCTACTGACTGAAGAGAATTTGTTTTTTGTAGTAGATTATTATTTTTTTTCGTCGTTGTTGTTGTGACCATACGCCTCCTTTCTTTTTCTCTCGTTTTAGTTGATTCGTTCTTGAAAAAAAAAGAAGCAGGACAGATCTGATGTATTGTTTGTTTTCGACTTTTTTGTTAAATGCATAATAAGTCAGAGATCGTACTGTACTTTTTTATTTCTCTCAAGTAGCTATAATTCAACTAATGTTTTTTTTTCTTGTTGAAGAAAGAAAAAAATTTTTGTTTCGTATTCGTTGGTTGAAATTTTGCAATGAAATTGAAAAATTAATTTATATCAGTTTATATGAATAGACTGATCTAAATGTTTCTTTTGGGAATGACTGATTTAATTTAAGCAGGAACAATAAGACTTCATGTAGAGCATAAAAATATATTGCTTCGTTCACAAGGGTGGCGCTGGTCAGCCAACATTGGGGGGGGGGGGAGTGAAACGAAGTTTTTTGAATTTTTCGGAGGTGTAGCGAAATTTTGTGAATTTTTGGCGGGGTGTAGCATTATTTTTGGTAAAACACCGACACCCCCCGGTGGCGCCACCCCTGTTCGATCATTAATCCATAGATATCATTTATCTCCTGATAAACCTTCTAAATTAAATTTTTTTCATATGAAATTCTCTAACTTTTAGAGAATTGAAAGTTTTTTTAACAATTCATGAACTAAAGTGTTTTTAATCTAAACGTGAAATATTTTATGAGTATGTCGACATTATTCTTCTCTTTGTTATATCAAAAAAATGTATTTAGTAGTCAAAGTACAAGCCTTCGAGGCGTAAATATAAATTTTACTTATAAACGATGACGCACCGGATTTTTTTCGTTTTTTTTCAAAATTGAATGGATAAATACGCCCTATTTTACTTAACAAAAAAAACATGTGTAAATAACATTGATATTATTGAACTATCAAATAAATATTCTATTCGAAAATCTCAATAGAATCTTGATTGGTTAATAACAAGGAAAATAATGGATGAAAACGATTATGTAATTGTCAACGTATTAATCTATTCGCCAGTTTACACATCGCTATATCCGCCTACACATATGGCATTCTGTTCTATTTTCTGTCTTTGGTGCATGTACAATAACCTATTGAGTTTTCCTTTCTATTTTTGTTCTGGAGAAAAGTCTTTTTTCTCTCTCTCCATACCATCATTCTTCGATCAGAATAGGATAATCTAAGTCTACATTTACCAGTAAGAAGAAACTGGTAATATTTGTTCTACTTGCTAACGGAGTGATATACATTCTTATATAAATAAACCAAAATGGCATCGGTTAATTCAATTGATGATGAAGCAGAACTTCAAAAAATGGTTTTTTTTATGAAATTTATTTTTCTGTTTAATATTTCAAGTTTTCTTTCTATTCAGTTTAATGCAGCAAAAGATCCAGATGAACGTAAAATTATTCGTACAAGATTATTAGCAGTAAAAAAAATCAATAGTGGTAGGAAATATTTTCTTTATTAGTAAAAAATGATTTTTTTTATTTAATAATATATATTAGAAAAACGTGAAAAAGAACGAGTTGAACGTGAACAACGTCGAGACGATGATGTTAAACGACGTAGTCAAGCACAAATCGAAGAAAATATGCAACGTATGAAAGTATTTGAAGAGACAGCACAAAGTTTTGGTACAAAACTTGAAACACAAGTTGATAAATTAAGAGATCAAGCACTCAAAGATAAACAAGCATATATTGAAAAAGAACGAAAAGCGTAAGAAAATTATTTTGATTTTATATAAAATCTATATCTTCGTATTTTGAAAAGTGAAATAGCTCGAATTGAAGCAGCAGCTAAACAACATATGTCAGCAAATATAGGTGACGATCGTGGTGATTCAATGACAAAAGTATATATTCTTATATTTGTAAGGAAATATATATTATCTTTTTCTTTTAGCAACGTCAACAATGGGCTGTTGAAGATAAAAAGACTGAAGAGAAAAACCTCAAAGATTTATCGAAATTTACTGGTAAAACAGCTTGTAAGTTATCTTTAAAATTCTAATATAAAATAAAAAGAATATTTTTACTCTTATATTTAGCGAAATAAAAAAAAACTACACAACCTTGAACATGTATTTACACAGACAAACAAACAGACAATAAAAAGAAAATAACTCGAAAATTTTTAAATAAAAATACTTATAAATATTGAAATAGTTGTCATTAAATATAATATAGTCTTATTAAATGAATTACCAGATGAAGGTCGTGAAGTTGTTGTATTGAATGAAGGTGATGGTGTTGGTAAAGTTGATGACGCTGGTGCAATTGATGAAACTGATGAAGTTGATGAAGTTGTCATAACGTCACATGAAGTATCCATTGCATCTGATCCTTTGATGAGTGAATTTGCATAAATATAAGAAATGCAAATATTATAAGGTGTATTTTGAGTTAGATTCATAAAATAGAACATATTTATATTATATGTAGCATTAGAAGTTGTATTTGTTATTGATGGTTGTACTGTCCCATTTATATTTGCTGTTATATTTACTTGATCATAGGGTAACATTTGTGACGTATAAGTATAGAAAGTAATCGAAGTAGCCGTTGCTACAGGATTACTTACATTTAATGGCACAATTGGTGGTGTTGTAGAGTTTATTGATGCACGTGTTAATACACATTCATTTATATCCGAAAGTGTTAGATCACTTGCATCAGTTTGTACCCATTCGAAACAACCAAAAACATAATCACCAGGAATCATTAGTACATTGGGCACAACCCATGGTAAAGATGTGTTACTATTAGTAAAATTCGCCCAGGAAAAAGGATATTTCGTAGGACTTAATACTGTATTATTGACAAAATCGTAGATTGTAAACTGCACATAAAGATTAACAAATTGATAATTTGCTGGATATATAAATGTGAAATTAAGCATGGAATCATTATTTGGAATAGGATTAACCGGACCAAGTGTTGGATAAATCACAGCTGGAGTTATTTGGCCTGATGATAATATATAAAGAAGACATGAATAGACGACAATAAAGACGAGCATTTTAAAATATTTTTGTAATAATAAACAGTATAAGAGATTGCGTATTATATAGAAAGGTATAACAATAATAAAGATTAATCAAGCGTACGAATATTTTCTTTTGTCTTTGTGAAGTGATGATGAAAGAGTACACAGTCGAATATAACTGTTATTTACTCAAATATAAATATATATAAGAATTAGTCAAGCGAATGCTATCATCAATAACATTATTAAGGCGTAAATTGTTAGTCATTATTCTACGCATCAACCAAATGGATAATTCAAAACAACGATCGATAGATACATTCAAAGAATTAATCTATATGATTATTTACTAAATATGAAACCAAGATTTCGAGGATGTATAATAAATACTTGTATGAATAAAAATATCAATTTCTTATTAAAGAAAGTCATAAAAAGACTTTTATTACAGTAAAAGCTTTCTAAATTTTCTCAATATGTACTAGTTAATTCTGGAGATGTTATATTGATAAATTCATCTTATGGAAGAGGACGCTAGTATCCGTTTTTTTTTCTGTTCAACTTATGTCCGTTCGTTCATAATCTATCCACCCACACACACATAAATTATATTCCCCAGTGATTCCTTTTTTCTTATCATTCGATAGAAGAAAAAAACTCTTCTTAATCTTGCCATTAGTTTAAATAAAAATCTTATTTATTAATTCTTTTTTTTCGCCTCGTCAAATTCAAAACTATAAAAATGATGTCAATCCCATTTATGGATCAATCGGTTACATCAATAGCATCTTCTTCAAATCATTTCGATCCAATACCTCATCGTCAAACTCAATCACCATCATCAACAGCATCATTACCTGTATGGAAATCATATTTATATAATTTACAAATGCAAGCACCTAAACCAATACCAATTATATGTCGAACTTCTCAACCACGTCGTCCACGACAATATGGTTTAGAATTTCATGGTCTTCTATCTCGTACAGATGCTGATCAATTAATGTTAACATCTATTGATGGTTCATATCTTGTACGTGAATCATTAAATCCACCAAACTCTTATACATTAGCAATTAAATTTAATAATGAAGTTAAAAATTATAAATTATTTTTCGATTCACAAACATCAACACATTATGTTGGTGAAAAACATTTTGATACATTAAATGATCTTGTACATGATGGTTTAATATCATTCTATTTGGAATCAAAAGCAAGTGATTATATTGCATTAATGGCATGTGATTCACAATGTTATACAAATGAAAGTCCATATGGGCAATATAAAGCACAATTATTACATCGAGCACAAACACATACTAATAATTTTAATTCAAATGATCATACAGTATAAATTTAAAAACGAAAAAAAAACTTTTTTTTTAATTTATTTTCTTTAGGATACAATAACAACACCAATAACAAATCGTTCGATTACACAAAATCAACTACAAACTGATCAAATGACATTAAATTATCTTTCACCATTAAC